ACAATTTCACCCAACGTATCTGGTTGAGCGCAAACCAGAAAGCTTTGCAAATATGACCTTGAAGCTAAGGAATGAGAAGTAATACGCGTGCTGGAGTCACATTTTCTGTATTTGTGCAAAAGCATATTTTTCTGAATGCGTCTGAGTAGATCTACAACGACGCATTGCCCGTGGTATTCTGAGCATAAAGAGTGAAAACCACAATTCGGTTGCATATCAGAACTGGCAGGAGTTCTAGTCCAAGGAAGCGATCTGATGATAGCAATGTTGTAATACAGTCTGTGGTGAGTTCTCTTAAGACACAGTGTTCTGTTCTTGTCACTTCCTGTTCGGCTAAATGTAACTTTTGCAATGAGAACGAGCATGGAGGTAGCAAGCTGCGAAAATAATTTGTGAGAGCCAACGCCAAGAAGTAAACATTTATGTCGAGGGAGAATAAGAACATATCTTCTTGAAGATGTGCCGCGCTGACTGAGTGTTAGAAGGGACCGTGGGACGCTGTGTGTGCGTGCGTGCGCCTGTGCTGGGGTGGGGTTGGGGGGAGAGCATGTGTGCGTGTGGGTTTCTACATTCATAGAAGACGAGCCAGAAAGTGTCCATTGATTCGAACTGAACTGGCTTGAACTTGGACACACTGGAATTGTACGAAAGGCATCCCCAGAGATTTTGGAGGAAATGAACCAGAACCCCGTTTCCAGTCAGAGTGGAATTAACTCTATAATTGAGTCTGACGCCGTGACTCCGTGAGCTAGGAATTTTGATAGATGGTGTTTTGTGAGCTGAGCCAGGCTGGAGTTTCACCATACATGACATGCTTGTTTTCCATTTCAGGGGAAGAGTTAAATTCTAGAGCAAGGATGTCTTCATTTCTCTTTCGCTCCTCCTCTTCCTCCTGAATTTAGAAATAGCAAGCAATCGAATCACAGACAGGGATTTCTCAATGGATTCTCCCAAAGCAGTGATGGTTAACAGGAGGAAAGCAAGCATCAGGGGTAGGAAGGGTGGGAACGACTCCCACGGCAACCCTGCAGAAGCTTCCATGGGTGTAATCTCCACCCATGGTTGGAGGCATCACCACTCAGCCATGTGGGCCTTCCAAACAACCCCTTTGAGGGTCCACTGGGGACCCCTGGATCCCAGGCCCTGCCACGGGCTGGAGACAGCATGAGAATCAGGGGTGTCATAGGCGGTGGGTGGGTCCTGGGGACCCAGGTAGTTCTGGGGCAGGTGCTCTGGGATGCCAGGCTTGGTGTGTGGGAACCTCTTCACCGTAACTCAGAAGACCTGCTCGCGGAATGTTCAAGACCGCTCACTTGGCTCAGACTGAGCTCCGCGGTGTGAGTCTTGGCTGCTCCCACGGAGAGAGCTGGGTAAATTTTGACCCTTCTAGGACTTACCTCATTTATAAAAGGGGGATAAACAGAGCAATTGTGAGGAACACATAAGGAATTGAATGGAAAAGCTTAGGGCAGAGCTTAGCACTTAGGAAAACTAACAAGTGCCTTGTGATGGATCACGCAGTCCATCTAAACCTCTCAGAAGGAAGCCGGGCCCGGAGTTTTGTCAGCCAGGGGGCTTGTGCGTCCCTTGAGGGGAAAAAGAGAGCAAGGTGGATGGCAGAGGGTGAGTGTCCACTGTGGAAGAGGGCGGGAGGTAGCAGGTTACCATGGACGTCCACTCAGAAACCCAGAGTTCACCAGACTTCTCCAAAATCCAGACAGGACAGGGGACGTGGCTGTTCCCAAGCACTCATACTTTCTCTTCCGCATTTTCTATTACTTTTAAAAATTTATTTATTTAAATCCAAGTTAGCTAAGCTACAGTGTCGTCTTGGCTTCAGGAGTAGAAGCCCGTGGTTCATCACTTCCATACGACACCCAGCGCTCATCCCAACACGTGCCCTCCTCAGTGCCCGTCACCCATCTAGCCCGTCCCCCCCACCCACAGCCCCTCTAGCTGCCCTCAGTTTGTTCTCTGTATTTGAGTCTCTTATGGTTTGTCTCCCTCTCTGTTTTTATGTTATTTTTGCATTTTCTTTCAGACTGTGGAGGCTGAAATGTGTCTGGAGAGACTTCTGCTAATCTAGACAACAGGAACAAGAAGCTGGTCTAGTGATAAAATTCCCTCTGCCATCGGGTCCCGTCTTTGCTGGTTGTGATCGGATAATCCTGTCCTCCCCTCCACCCCACGTGAGCTGCATGGAAGCTCACGTCCACAGAGAATACGTCCTCTGCAAGTTCAGCTGCCCCGTGTCTTATGCAGGCTTCCCTTAGAGGTCACCACCTCACCTGGCGGGGTCTTGGAGTCCCCTAACCCCCCCCCCCCACCGGGTGAGGTGATGACCTCTCCTCTTCTGCGTCTTCTCCCTCCTTCCCACTCTCCCATCTTTGTAGGAAAAGCACCCAGGACAGATGGCTGTCCACGTTTACTGGTGACAACCAGAACGTACCAGCAAAGCCTTTGTCTCCCAGTGTGTCGTCAGATGCCCATGGAGTCGAACATCCAAGAGGTGGATGTGGCTCGTGGCCCATGCCTGATGCTGTTGTGCAGTCGGCATCCAAACACCGCGTTCTCACAGGGCCCTGAGTCTCAGATGTGCAAGGCTAAGCTTTGGTTTGTGCTCTTAAAAGAACTGAACCCCATGAAAGCGTTTCTGTTAAAGATGAAATTATTTAATTTGACAAAGAAAAGAGTCTCAGGAGATTCAGAGGGAAGCAGGCAGGGCTTGGCACATTTCCTCTAATCTCTCTTATCTTCAACCCTGTATCAAAGAGTGTAAACAAAAGCTTTTCCTTTTATATTTATGGGCATCTATCTAAGTTGGCAATATCAATCTGTTCCAAACGCAGTGGTATATATATTTGCTTACTGGGGTAGACTGGATTAAAAGCTGTTCATCTTTCTGGATGGGCTCTTGTGAGCTACAGATTCAGAAATCCTAAAAGCAAATCTTACGAGAGCAAACACATTTTCTCTCTAGCAGTGCTGTCCTGGAAGGGAATGTGCTCTGGGACCAGTGCCCATACATTTCAGCTATGATTTTAGAACATCATTTTAAAACAAATATATATATATATATATATGTATATACACATATATATGTGTGTGTGTATATATATGTGTGTGTGTGTGTATATATATATATATATATATATTCACTTCAGCTCAATTTTGATTTTGATAATGCCTTGCCAACAGTAGGGGAAAAAAATCACAAGTGTATCTGGTATTTGTCCCTGATGAGCGCTGGTGCAGATAAACACGTCCGCTTCCAATGACTAGCTCGAAAACAATGATGGCCACAGCTCAGAAGCCTCGCTCACTACTCTGAGGAGACAGATCTCTAAAGCATACTTAGTGTTTGACCTTTTCAGTAAAGGGCATATGAAAAAGAGTCAAATTCCAGACAAAATGGAGAGAATCTAATAAATATACTTAGATTTTTTTTTTTCTCCCCCAAGCGATCAGTCCATTTTAGATATCAAATATCAACCATCTTGGTTGCAAAAGGGATGCTGCAATCTTGAGCCCAGTGGGGGTGGCTGCAGTTTGAGTGGTAAATCGTGGGGCCAGAAGGGGTTCATCCAATTCAAGTAAGTAACCAAATTATTTGATACACATGTAGGAAGGATGTGCAATGTTTCTACGTACCCATAACCTGCCGTCTTTTATAGTGCTGGAACCCCAAGCGAGACTGAACTATAATATTTTTAATTTTTTTAATGTTTATTTATTTTTGAGAGAGAGAATGAAAACAGGAGAGGGGCAGAGAGAGGGAGACACAGAATCCGAAGCAGGCTCCAGGCTGCTGAGCTGTCAGCACAGAGCCCGATGCGGGGCTCGAACTCACAAACCACAAGATCATGACCTGTGCTGAGGTCAGACACTCAACCAACTGAGCTACCCAGGTGCCCCCAAATTTTTTAAATTTTACATCATATGTCTCTCTCTCTCTCTCTCTCTCTCTATATATATATATATATATATATACACACACACAACCAAATACAAAGGTCAAACATTTGCCAAAAATTGAAAGGAGTGACTTTACAGAGCTCATTTAAATAGTCTTGGGGTGGCCTCTTGGCTCTGTATTTGATGAGGGGAAAGATGTTCCCCAAATGGTATTAAGTGAAGATAAGAAAATCAGGTTGCAAAGTATGATTGTCTTTTTATAAAAATAAGTGTGCAGAAGAAACACTGAACCGATAATCACATTTAGCTGTGATTATCCCTGGGCAAGGGAATTACGGAATGTTTTTTCCTTCCTTTAAGTTTCTGCATTTTGTGCTTGATGTGTATTGTCTCTAAGTGACATGTTCCATAAGAAGAAGGGTGTGGAGTTTTGAGGAGCGTCAGTGTGCCTTCAGGGTGGGAGCCAGGCCGGGGGCAGCTTGCTCCCAGGACAGCAGCTGAAGATCTCCCAGTGAGCCTCTAAAAACAGAGCAAATTGCAGAAGTTGAAGTGAAAACCACGAGACTCTTTCTCTTCTTTTTTTTATTTTTTTTTAAATTTTTTTTTTCAACGTTTATTTATTTTGGGGACAGAGAGAGACAGAGCATGAACGGGGGAGGGGCAGAGAGAGAGGAAGACACAGAATCGGAAACAGGCTCCAGGCTCTGAGCCATCAGCCCAGAGCCCGACGCGGGGCTCGAACGCACGGACCGCGAGATCGTGACCTGAGCCGAGGCCAGACGCTTAACCGACTGAGCCCCCCAGGTGCCCCTAAAATGACAGGCTTTTATTTTTTTATTTATTTATTTTTTTTATCAACGTTTATTTATTTTGGGGACACAGAGAGACAGAGCATGAACGGGGGAGGGGCAGTGAGAGAGGGAGACACAGAATCGGAAACAGGCTCCAGGCTCCGAGCCATCAGCCCAGAGCCCGACGCGGGGCTCGAACTCCCGGACCGCGAGATCGTGACCTGGCTGAAGTCGGACGCTTAACCGACTGCGCCACCCAGGCGCCCCATGAGACTCTTTCTCTTCTGAAGGGCCTCCTCAGGGAGGATGTGCCGATGTAGGACAATCCCCTCCTCCAGGCAGACCTCCGTCATGGATCCCGGCTCTCCAGGAGCCCCTTACTTACACCTGCAGCCCATGGTTCTGGGACACAGCACCCCATCAGCCGGGTTGGTTCAGCCCTTCACTCCTCTCTTCCTTCTGCCTTTTCGGTGTGGAGAAAGAGAAAGTTTCATTCTAAAAGCTACCAGGGACCCGTGAGAGTTCTTTGTATAACCAGCGAGTTCTTCGGGGAAATTAAAACAAACAAACAAACAAACAAAAAAAAAAAACATACTTAGGGGAAAAAAAAAAGACTAAGTCAATTGTTTAGGAAAAATACTTTTGGGCACAAATGACCAAGTTAGTAACCAGGGTCTCGCTCTCTCCAGATGCCCTGTCGTGGCCCAAGTCCCCAGCAGCAGCAAGCTGGCACGCTTGGGTGCATTACGCCTGATTTCTGAGCACCGTCCCTGAAGAAATGACCCTCCGGACTCAGGCTGCCCACTCCTCTCTGGAGAACTTCATACGTCAGATCTAATGTCCGCTGGCCCTGGGCTCAGGTCTGTTCAAATAAGGAATTCTCATCAGGTAGAGGGGGGCAGATTGCAAATAAATTCTTCCAGGCAGTGTGATTCCCAGACCTGGGTCTCACAGGTGAGTGAACCAAAATGGGGTGAGGGACAGACAATAAAGACCAAAAAAGGGGGATAGATTTCCAGGTGCCAGTTAAGGACAATTTCCAAAATAACAATTCCCTATATGCTTCTTGCCAAATCCTACCATCTTCTCATTATAAACAAAAGAAAACAAAATATTTTTTAATATGAAAAAAGCCAGGAAGGACATCATCTCAGAATAGAGAACAGTCCTGGCCAAGAGAGCTCCTCGGACCCATCATTCTGTCGTCCCATCATTCTCAAAGTCCAGGGTACTCATCATCGCCTGGGGTTCGTGAGCATTTCTCGACACAAGGACCTGGCACCAGGACAGGACGACGTTCCTGGGTAAGTGTGAGTGGGGCCTGTGTGGGGTTGGACAGCGTCCCCCGCAAATACAGGTCTACCCAGAACCGCAGAAGGTGACCTGATTTGGAGAAAGGGTCTTCTTGGCAGATGAAACTTTAAAACGAGGTCAAGTTAGATCGGGGTGGGTCCTCACCCAATGCCTGGGGTCTGTATAAGAAGAGGGGAGAGCGGGGGCACAGGGAGAGCGTGGGGAAGGAGGCAGAGGCTGTAGTGACGCATCTACCAGCCAAGGTTGGTGAGGCTCGCCCAGCAGAAGCTCGGACGCGGGCAGGAGCAGACCCTCCCTCTGAGTCCCGCCAGCACTTTGATGCTGGACTTCGGGCCTCCGGAGCCAGGAGGGCCCTCCTGCTGTATTAGCCTCCCGGTTTAAGGGGCTCTGTGAGGCAGCCCCAGGGGAGTGACAGGAGGAAATACAAGGGCAGATCCATTCAGCGGCACTGAAGGTACGGAGCTTGGGAGAAGGTCTGTAGAGACGGGGCTCTTGGTAGGCGCCTTGAGAGAAAAACCTCTTTCATCAGCCAAAGGGAGAGGTCGAGAGTCAAGGGGCTGGGGAAATTTGGGGCCTGGGGAACAGTATGCAGCTGGCCCAGGAGTAGGCAACGGCCTGCCTGGTTGACAGGCTGCTGGGACATTGCAGCGGTGGGATGCGTCCCGGGGGAGCCGCCCGCCGCTGCTGACCCGGGGGGTGGGGGGTGCCTCTGCCTCCATTCTGCAGCCAGCCAAGGCCCCCAGACGCTCTGCCCTTCTTACCAGGCTGAGTGTCCGGAGGCCAGAAGTTTCTGGCGCTGGGAAGCGAAAGGTTTTACTAAAACTTCCTAAAGGTGGCGAAATGATCAGATCATCTGGGTGACTCTTCTCTTGAAGGGACCTCATTGTTCAGAGATTACCCATTTCTTCGAAGCGTGATCTCTTTCCAAGATCGATGCACGCACAGGTCTCACAGCCCAGCGTGCATGGCAGAAATCCGGCAAACCTTACTGCACAAGTACTCTTGCGAGGCCCGGGGTCAGGCCCCTACCCCTTAATGTTCTCATTCATAAGTGGGGGCCCTCCTCCTCATAAACACTCAAACCTAACTCCCAGGCTTTATTGTGACAATCGAATGAAATTGTGTATATGTAGCACCGTGCCTGGGATACACTTAGTAAATGTTAACTAGTCCGTTTTTAGTATTCTTTTTATGTTTATGAGATAGATAGGGAAGGAACACCTGTGGTAGAAAACTAATTGGAAAAATTTATGATACATTTTACCCAAGAATAACTCGGTGCGGTCATGAAACAAAATATAATTCGGATTCCTTAGTGGAGTCCTTGTGTTTCCACAGCCTGCCGGCGGGGGGCGGGGGGCGGGGGGGGGAGGGGTGGGGGGGTCTGGTGGGGGGGATAGTTAGCAAAACTCTTCTTGGACCCAAGAACGTTTCTTGCACATTGTTCTGGAACAGCGTCCTCAACCTCATTGGTCAGTCATCCTAGCACATGTCGCAAGGAGCCGCGTCACCCCGAGGTGCCCTCACCCCAGCCTGGCACAGCAGCTCAGTCCGTCCCTTCTCTGGTTCTGCAGGTGAGCAAAATTCATGGAGGTTGCTTCCAAGTGTGTTTTTGTCGTTCTCACCCTGGGGGTTTTCTCTTTTGGGGTCATCTTTTTTTTCTTTTTCTTTCTTTCTTTCTTTCTTTTTATGATTAGCAAAGATCTACATAAATTAAAGTCAGTAACCATTTGTCAACAGTCTACCCTATCTGTATTTGCCTTTTAATGCTCCTGCTTTGGGTGTATATTCGTTTAACCTTGTTGCATTTCATTTAAATTTTTTTAAATGTTTATTTGAAAGAGAGACAGAGAGAGAATGAGCAGGGGAGGGGCAGAGAGAGAGAGACAGAGAGAAGACAGAGAGACAGAAACTGAAGCAGGCTCCAGGCTCCAAGCTGTCAGCACAGAGCCCGATGCAGGGCTCGAACTCACAAAAAGCAAGATCATGACCTGAGCCGAAGTCGGACCCTTAACCTCCTGAGCCCCCCCAGGGGCCCCTCGCTTCATTTTTACATAATCGAATCCATGGCTATTCCCTCTATAGTTTCTTCAGTCGATTTATGCTTAGAAAACAGCCTTCCGAGGTTGGTTATAATTCTACTGATGTTTGAATTTAGATCCTTTTTTCCTAACTCTCTAATCCATCTGGATTTTTTTTTTTTTGTATTTGATTTGACGCACAAATCTAACTATTTTTGTCTATTGCTTTGCTGTGTTTTTTTTTTTTTACAAATATCAGCTTATATCCCAGCATTCTTTATTTAAAATGTAGGGGGTTTTTTGTTTTGTTTTTTGCTTGAAATGGAGGCTTGATCACTTGGTTAATAAACTTAGTCTACAGGCAGTCTTTCCTGAAATTGCCCATTAAATGATTGGAAGGTGCACAGATCAGGTAGAAAATGTGGAGAACTCCCAGGCTTGGACAGGGATCGAGGCAATGACTGGGGGGACCAGGCTTTCCCACAGCTGCCCCCTAGCCCCGGCTGGGCACTGACTCTTTGCTAATAGGTGCTGGGCCCAGGGTTCCTTTGCTGGCTCACTGGCCCTTCCTGAGTAAACGTTAATCCCCACTACAGCTTACAAAACAAGCGGCTGCATATTGGAGTGTTGGGCAAAGGCACAGCTTGGGCCAGAGCAAACACCCCCAACACAGGGGGTCCGGCCTCTAGATACAACGGGACTCTGCAAGAGTCCTGAGAGATGGCTCTGGGCCCTGACTGACAGACTGCCTTCACCTGCCCAGGCGGGCTTCCAGAATGCACCTGATGGCTCGGTGAGAAGGGCAGGAAAGAAGCCAGGGGACCACGGAATAGTGGGACGCGGTAGCCTGCGTCCAATCACGGATACTCATAAATGGAGGCTTCTTTGCTACGCTTTCCTTCCCCAGAAACTCCATCCTGAAGCCACGGAGTGGGTTGAAGCAAGGTGGATGTCCATGCCAGGAGGAAGGCACCACGGAGGAGCACAGTAGGTGAGTGTGGCATCTGGGGGGTCTCCCGGAGCCCAAGCAGGTGGCGGGGGCGGGGGGGGGGAGCATCCAAGGGGGTGTGGTGCAGCCATAACGTCAGAGCCCAGTGGGATGAGGACTGAAATGTGGGGGTGTGTGTCTGGGACTGGCAGCCTGGGCAGGGTGAGGGAGTGGAGTCAGGGTGGCAGGGAGGCAAGGAGGGGGCAGTCCAGACACCGATGCCAGAGCACCTACCGAGAGGAGGGAGGAAGGCGGCGTGGGGGTGGGGTCTGGTGAGAGGCCGGCAGCATTTGGGAACTCAGTACAAGGGTGAGAGAAGGCAGCTAGGAGGCTCAGGGCTGGGGACGAAAGTCACGAATGCAGATGGGGTGAAAGCTAAGACTGTGGTCCTGGATTTGAGTTGGGGATGCTGGCTTGACCTGGTGGCTTTCGATGAATAGAGAGGTGTGTGTGTGTGTGTGTGCGTGCGTGCCCTCTGGCTTCATCCCTGAGATCCTTGCCTGGACCTTGGTTTCTAAATCCTTTCTCCCTGCAGAGACGGCACTCCTCAGAGCCTGGCTGAGGTGAGCCTGAAGCCACCGAGAGCCGGCAGATGAGCAGTGGTGACACACAGGCCCGTTGAAGGGCTCCACTGTCAGAAGCTCCCAAATCTGAGGATATCTGGAAACCTCTGAGCATCAGGAGAGGTGACGATGGTAACGGATGGGGATCCACTGAGTGAAGTGACAACCAAGAGTCCACACGGAGAGAAATAACTACAGGAATCAATACATCAGGAGTCAGACGAGAGGCTGGGGCACCTGGGGGGTTCAATCGGTTGCGTGTCTGACTTCGGCTCAGGTCACGATCTCACCATACGTGGGTTCGAGCCCTGCATCGGGCTCTGTGCTGACAGCTCAGAGCCTGGAATCTGTTTCGGATTCTGTGTCTCCCTCTCTCTCTGCCCCTCTTCAGCTCTCTCTCTCTCTCTCTCTCTCAAAAATAAATAAACTTTAAAAAAGAAAAGAAAATACGCCCTGAAATATTTAGGGGTTATGGAACATCATTTGGGCAACTTATTCTCCAAGGTTCCAGGAAAGATTTATTTGTGCTGCACTTGTAGCTTTCCTGTAGGTAGATTATACTTGATTACAAAGTCTCTCCAACTTCCCCGGGGGGGGAGGGGGGATGCCTCCCTGCAGTAGGGGGATGGGAGCTTTCGAGGAAGCAGGTGCATCCACCTGGGGAGTCCTGTTCCCGCTCTCTCTAGCACTGGAGGGGTTCCAGGTCACAGGTGTGGCAGCCGCAGTGACACAGGCACGTTCTAGAAGGCCGGTGCGGTGTGCCAGCATCCTAAATAAAGGACAGGGAGACCTCAGATGATGCCAACACAGGGGGATGGGGCAGGCTGACCGGCTCCCGCGGGGAGGGCCAGGAAATGTGTGTCTAGTCCAACTGACACCCTGTGGGAGGACATCAAAGAATCTGAGGACCCGGGTGGTGGCAAGGCTAAAAATAACCAGAGCGACTGTTTACTCTGTGCGTGAAATCCTCTCCTCACATTCTCTCTCGTGACTGTCACAACCGCCCCGTGGGGCGAGGGCAGTTAGTGCCCCCGCAGGACAGGAGGAAACCGAGGCCCAGAAAAGTCACACGACAGGGCCTGTGGTGACCGATGTCCCCCACATGGTCACTTCGCAGTGCACACAAATGCAGCGTCTGTGTTCTATGCCTGGAGCTAATATAACATGGTGTGTCCATTACACCTCAACAAATAAAATAAAGTATAAATAAATAACAAATAAACAACATGGCAAAGGTGCGCGGTCCGGCCCTCACTCCTGGCCATCCCAGGAAGGGGACAGTTCTCCGGCCGGCAGCCCAGGGAGCTGAGACACAGGTGCTCCGGGCCAGACTTGGACCCCCACCGAAAGCCCAAAGCTGGGCCTTCTGGAACATCCATTCCTGCCTGCCTGAGCCCCATGGCCCGGGTCCTTGAGGGCCGAGGTCACGGACACACTTCTCCCGGATGTGGGAGCCACAGCATCGGTTGAGGATGAACCACAGGCACTAGTTACTGTTAGTGGCCCAAGGTGGCAGGACAGGCTCTTGGCTCAGCGTGGGGCTCACAGCCACCTGCACAATCCTCCCCTCTCTGCTCCTCCTGGAGGCAGACAGCCTCCTTCCTGTCCCCCCAGGCCCCCACCGCCCTTCCCTGGCACAGGGGACTGGGGATGGCCAGGGCCAGCAGGCACAGTCCCATCTGGACCCTCGGATCAGGGGCTCTGGGCTGTGGGCTTGCATCAGGCCTCCTTGTCCCACACACGTGGGCCTGGGGAGGGCTGGGGTCCTGGGGACAGCCCCACCATGTTCTCCTGTCCCCCACGAGTGTGACAGGGAAGGAGGCAGGGGGCCCAGGCCCACGGCCTCCGCAAGGGGCTGCCTTCTGTCCCTTCACTTGTCCTAGGACAGGGACTGAAAGACGAAGACGAGAAGGGACGGACGGGCCAGTCTGCAGCCTGCACACCCAGCCTGGAGCCCAGCACTCCAGGGTTCTGGAGCCCTGGTCCACCCGACCCCCCGGCCTCCTCCCAGTGCAGCCCTCCAGAGGGAGCAGAACCACGTCTCCATGCTTCTCTTTTTCGATGGTGGCCTCCGGGGCGCGGAAGGGGTCCTTCCACATGTTTAGGCTCAGATGCTAGAAGTAGACGAGGCATATAAAGGAATATATAAGCTCTACAGTACCCAAATAAATACTATTACGCTAGTTACTTGCAGGAACATGAAGGGGAATAAATAATCAGGAGCAAAGTTACTTTTATCCCCACAGTAGCCACTTCCAGTAACCCTTTGGGGTCATTTCAGGCCTTCTGGAACCTGCACTCCTCTGACCTCCCCCACAACCCCTAGGGACGGCCACAGCTCCCAGGCAGCCTTGGAATCATACAGCCCCTCCTGATATTAGCAACGGTGACGGTGACAATACTGGCGAGTGACCGCAATAAAGATGCCATCTTATTTATATATAACAGGCACTTTTGTCACTTGTCATTCACATTCCCCTATCCCTACAAGAGTTTCCGCAGAAGCCACAGGTCACTTCCCACATCCGAGATCTTTAAGGGCGAGGGTGATCCTTCCCACCCTCCAGTGTTCCCACTTCCTGGAGAGGCAGGCCCCAGGCGGGCCCCCAGGGGATCCCACCCCCCCCCCCCCCGTCCTTCTCAGTGGGGAGCCTGCTCTCTGGGGTCCAGAGCCCTCCACTCCAGGCAGGGAGAATTGATACCCTCCTCCACCCTCCCTCTGGGTCAGTGATATTTTCCGGCCTGTGTGGAAGGCTCCACTTCCCTTCCCATTAGCGGCTTCTTTGCCGTTCCAGAACCTTCCACATTAGCCCAGGAAGTGGGCTCTGTCCACCCAGCACTGCTGATCGATGTGCACACACAGTCAGCAGATCAGCGTGGATGGAGGTCTAGATAGCACCCCTGCAGAGCCCCTGGCCTGTCAAAGAGGAAGTGCTTTTGGTCTCTTTACAGGACAGACTCTGAATCTTCCCAGCTCCCTTATTGGCGGCTCTGAGAAGACACCACTGGGCCCTCCTGCCTTTCTGCAACATTCATCCCTTTTAGTGCTGCTGGGAGACCACTGCTGGGTATGGGGCTAAGTGTGAATTCAGCCCTTTACCTGCACCTCTCCCCTTCCCACCCTCCCCACCTCCTCCTGCCTCCCTCCCCCACCCCTCTTCCAATCCCCCTCCCCTTCCCTCCCCCTGCCTCCCTCTCCCACCCTTCTTCCCCTCCCCCTCCCCCTCCTTTCCCCCCCTCCTTCTCCTCTTCCCCTTCCCTCCCCCACCCTTCTCCCCTCCCACCCTTCTTCCCCTCCCCCTCCCCCTCCTTCCCCACTCCTTCTTCTCCTCCCCTTCCCTCCTCCTCCCTCTCCCTGCCTCCCTCCCATCATCTTCCTCCCTCTGTCTCCCTCCTTCCCATTTCTCTCCCTCCCTCTCTCCCTCCCACCCCCCTTCTCCTAAGTAACACATTTGACTTTGAAACGAGAACAAAATTCTTTCATCACCTCATTATGAAATTCGCTCCTTTGTGATGACTTTTTAAAACCTGCTGAGCGGATGGTACTGTATCCCTTATCCAGAACCTCAGTGCCATGCTGATCTGTGCGGGTCTCAGTCCCTAAATTCGCCACCTTAACCTCGAGTCTATCCGGCTGGTGTCAGATACCCATCTGCCCTCCAGTTTGAACCTGGGATCGCTGTTGGGCGCGTGGCACAGAGGATTGCTTTTGATTTTCTGCTGTGAAGCAGGCCGGCAGCCCCAACCGGAGCCCCAGGAGCCCACGGGAGGCCCCGCATCCGGGGCCTGACTCTGCTCCGCGGGCTGGGCCTCCTCGCTCCACAGGAACCGCCTAGGACCCGGAGCCGCCAAATCCATTTGGCTCTATTTAGGCACTAAGTACAGGAAGGTAGTTATTGTACAAGATTAGTTTCCTGTAGGCCGTAAATGGGCAGTGGCAGAAAATACAGGATGGATTTATTAGCGTGCAAGGTCAGCCGAGAGGAAGACAGGCCCGTGATTGCTTCTCTCTCCTCTCCCTCACCACCCCGGCGGCGGCGAGCCAGGCTGGCAAAGACCCTGTAACAACTTAATCACTTCTTAATAGTTTTAAGCGAATTCAAAAGGCTGCAGGATGCCGACGCCTGGAGGTCAGGGCTGCCTGGAATATGTTAGGAATGCCCGTTTTTACTGGAGTTGCTGACGGGGATTAGAAGCCCCTGCAATCCGGGGTTGGCGAGGGTTTGTTTCTTGTTTTGGGTTGGTCTGCCTTATGCGGTGGTGATTGGCCAGGTCTTCCCTTTGAAGCTAGAATTTTACCTTTGGGAATAAAACAGCAGCTTCTGACAGTTTAAAACAAAAAGAAGTGCATGATCCTTTGAAAACACACAGTTCCCGGGAGCAGGAAGGTGGGACGCAGCAGACCTTATCAAGGCATTGGGGACAGAAGCCACCTTCCTTACCCGAGCCTTCCTGGCGGCAGCGCGGCGTTAGAAACAGAACCCTCCCTTTTCCCTTTTGAGATTTTTTTTTTTTTTCAAATGGCTTAAAGCTGTCAGGTAAAATTAGGCCCTGCAAGTAGCAGATGAAGTATTTGGATCCGGTTTTCCAGTGCTTTTGCACGAAAGGTTGTAATTCAATTTTTAATTACACCCGAGATCTGCAGCGAGTTACGGGAGACCCCTCCTCCTCCGTTCGGAGGAGGCCCTGGCGCCCCCCTGTCTCCCGAGCCTCCCGCACTCCTCCGCTCAGGCAGGAGGGGCTAAGCAGGGGTGCGGGAAGAAGGGAAACAGCCCCTCCTCTCCACCCCTTCCTGGCAGAGGAGGGCCTTGTTGGGCATGTGCTTTCCTAATTTCTTCGGGAAGTGCAACACTTTTACGTAGTAAAACGGCTGGTGAGAACATGTCCTCACATAGAAAGGGCCCCAGGAACGTTTCCTGAGTGAGCTAACTCCCCCGCCCCTCCGGGCTTGTTGCCCTCTGTGACCTAGGACAACACCTGCTGCTGCCTAGGGGCCTTCGGGGGTGCTGTCACAGCCCCCCTGGACTGCTGCGGAATCAGAGCAGATGGGAGGGGTCCAGACCTGCACCTCCGTTTCTGAGGGGCAGACAGGCCCCTGCCGGTTCCGAGATGCTGTTCCTCGGGGCTCAGGGAACAGTACTGGCTTCTCCACTGGGTCCATGTGTCCAAGCTGTGCTGCCCGTATCGGAAAGTTCGAAAGGGCTCCCTCCCAAGGACAGATCTTCAACGGATGTTCTACTTGTGCTCGATGCCGTCCTTCCTCGGAG